GGGGCTGGGTTGCCTCATGTGGCTAAACTCATGGGAGGGAAAATACTGCTACATGAATCAGCTACACCAGTACAAGGCCTGTATGGAGAAAAGGCTTTGTCCTTTTACCTGGGGTCACTGTCTCTATCAAGTTTTCTCTTGGGGAACTTTTTTGGTACAACACGTATCTTTTCCTTGTAAATAGCAAGAGGTGGGTGCGTGTGGTCATGTAGGTTCCCTTCCTGCTGTGAAGGTGTTACATGTAAGTGTATGTGGCTGATCTCTTGCATTGTCTGCCCAGCCTTTGAGTTGCTGGGGATAAGAGGATATACATGTAGGGGCACTGCCTTCAAAGCCTTTTCAGTGAGCCTGGGTGGGAAGGAAAACATTTTGTTCTGCATGTGAAAAAGAGATTTTAAATCTTTCTTTTGTAGTGAGTTTGATAGAACTACCTTTAAAACCTCCAAGTAGATAACTATGAATACATCTAGATAAGTGAAATATTTGTATTTGTAAAGGTCTTAAAATATATTTTAGAATGGAGCTGAAGGGTGACTTTGCAGTGGGAGGTACAGGAATTGCAGCAATGTTTACCATCATCTGCAATACAGGCAGGAATGGTACAAGTTCTCCTCTGTAATCCAACAAAAACACATTATGCTTGACCTGTAGTATTTACAGCTGTCGTAAACTTTTTGGTTATGGTGTGTGCACTATCAGATCCATTACGCTTTTAAAATCACATAAGATTAATTCATCAATGGATGCCAAACCCAGAGTTTTGTCAGAGGCTTTTATAGAAAATCATGATAAATGACTTAACAAAAAGAGTTCTCTTGAAGTGTGTTCATTCTTTCAAAGAAAAATATTACTAATGCCTAGTCATACAAGTAACAAAAAACAGATTTTTTAATAGGCTGTAGCTAATTCAAGTATGTATGATTTGAAAATATTATAATAAATGCCTAACTGCAGAACACTGGAATGTATTAGTATCTCTATAAGAAGAACTGCTCAGCATAGGTATAAAGCAAATTATTTTCCTAATTCTAATTTATTTCAATCTTGCAAAATCACACATCAATGTGTCTTTTAGGTGGTTTTCTACATGCACACTGTCAGTCTTTTTGTATGAATATTTCAGTAATAACTAATAAATTGCAAAGTGAAAGCTTATGTTCAGCTTACTTATGAATTCATTTTGCGATGCCATGCTGGTATCAGGGACATTTTAAAGCAAAATATATAATTCTGGAAACAATCCAGCTAAGTCAAATGGAAAAACACACAAGAAAGCTGTAACAGAACTGAGATGCTGGACATTAAAGGTCTGTATGCCTCCACTTCAACTTGCACATGCACTCCAAAAAATGGAGGAGACTAACTATTGATAATTAAAATCATAAAGATACTGCATTGTATGGGTTCTGTACCAGAAGAATAAGCAAAATAATTCTTATTTTACAATGAAGAGGTAAGGTTAAAAAAAAACAACAAACAACCCAAACAAAGCCTCAAACAATTTAAATGTTTCAAATTGGATTGGATATAATGACAATTCAAAATTGAAGCAGCTTTCATTCTTTGAGTTTCCATTTGGGGCCCCTGAGTAAAGCTTTTTACATTTCTTGACAAAATAAAAACAATAGCATGGCACTTTTAGTGTCTACTGAATGTTAGATAGTTAATAATTTAAAAAAGAGGGCTTGCTGAAAGACTTACAAGGTTTTTCCTTTTGTCAGAGAAGCAGCCAGTTTTGGTTGCCTGTTGGGCATTCCTTTGTATGCTTGCTTTCAGAGAATTAAATGACTTCTCCTTAAATAAGAGAAACTGCCCTCAAATTGCATGGCAAGGTTTTTTGATAGCCTTGATATCTATCACTGCAAAGATGAGAGCCTTATAGAAAATAAATCTTTCAAAGGTATTTTTTATTAATATTATTTGACCAGCTCTTGAAGACAAAGAGGGAATTGCAGTAGCAACAAACACAGGCAGAAGTGATTGTGCCTTCTCAAGGACTTGATCACAATTTCTGCTCAGAGACAACTTCTCAAGAATAAGCAAAATAATTTTCAGCAATGTTTATCTTAACAGTTGTGTGTTGCACAACTGTTACACAGTTGTGTAAATTTTTTTATATCTCCTGACCTAAGCTCAGATCTGTTGTCTAATTGGGGTGGAGAGGAGAGCCTCCATGTGCTCTTGAAGTCCTGTGCATTTCTGGAGATCAAGGGGACAACTGCTGCAGCAGAGGCATCCTTGGAGCTGGTGTGAACAGTGACAGCCTCTCCAGGTTTGCCTTCTGGTTGTGATGCAAAGCTGAAAGGCTGCAGCAGTCATCTACTGGACTTCTCTCCAGACAAATTCCTCCATCCCTTCATCTGCCTTGGCTGGCAGAAGTATGTGTATGCATTGGAGGTGCCTATGGTGAACCTTGCAGCAGCCCTGGCAGGTGCAGAGCAGCATTTGGTGTTCACATCAGGTTTAGTGTGCCTGGGTTGTTTCATGTTGGCTGCCTTTTCTCAAGCTTGCATTTTACCAGTGTTGCTGCAAATAGACGTCTGGCAAACTGCTTCCTCCTGCCTTTTTCAAGTGTCAGAGCTTTAGAGCTCTGGGATCTTCTCTGAGGATGGATGAGCCTCAGAGAAATGCAAATAATTTCCTCGTAGCAGCCTGAGTGTTCAGAGATGTGGTGCTGTTCCGAGCTGCCCTCCAACAGCTCATGCTAAGCCTTGATTCTGCTAAAACTTGCACTGTAGCAGGCTGAGACTTGGTCTGGGAGCTTGGGGTGTGTTGCCCTTCCCACCCTTTCTTTCTTCGCAGAAATAAGAAAGAGTCACAGCATGACTTGTTTCTCCTTTCTGTCTGTCCATTATCTTCATGCCAGTGTTCAGTCCCAGACACTGTTCTGGATGTAATTATATGTTGCATATACAGATGAGGTGGAAATCTGTTTCCAACTCTGTGAGCAGTTGCACTGTCCATCAGAGTAAGTGCTGCTAAGGAAGAAGAGTACAACGGGACATCCAACCAGACACCCTCTAATTTGTGTCTTTCCGTTGTTAAAGTTGAGGCTTGACATGCAGAGAAACCACACCTATCAGCTGGGTTTCCCCATCATTCTGAGGGATCTGGGAGAGTGGCTGTAATGACAGAGAGAGATGACAATCAGAGCTTTTGTAGAGCCTAGTCATGTAATTTGTATTGTGTTTCTTTCATCATACCATCAGCCTGCATCCCTCATGTTTAGTCTTAATGCCTCTGTATGCAGGGATGCTGTGTTACACCTAAACCTTTTGTTAACTGTCATCTTCTCTCACTTCTTCCCTTCATGCTGCTTCTCCAGTCGCTCCACTAAGCAACAGGCAGCCGTAGGTAAATCACTATGTATGTTGGCTATGCTAAAACTATCCTGAAAATATCACCCCTAAGCCAGAGGAGCAGTCTTGCAGCAGGACTGTCAGGTGGTGGGGCCACTCCCAAAAAGGAATGGTGCAGATGCACAGAATGTACAATTTAAAATGGTACTTGAACATGCCATCATTGGGCAGATGGCAAGATATTGGATGTTAAAGGTTTGTTAATGGACACATGAAGTAGGACAAGACTCTCTCATGTTTGTGAACAGAGGTGGCCTTTCTGCTCTATCATATCCCTGTGTTTTAGAGAGAAAACAAATGGCCTGCAACATTATTCTCCATGAGCTCTGTCCATCTGCATTTAAATTACAAAGGTCAGGTCCACTTGTGCGATAATTAAATTTTAATAAAATAAGAATAATTTATAGCATTCAAGTCCACATTATAATTGAGGTATCTATCCCCCACACAGACTCAGTACGTGATACAGTTTATGCATGAGCTCAGGATTCTCTGCAAGATGCTGAAATCAACATTGTGTACCAGGGATGTGGATACTTATTTTAGGCACTGAGTTTGGAAATTGTGGTTTGTAGAAATATATGCAAAAATATTGCCAAAATAAGCATTCAAAAACTAATTTAAATATGCAGCTGGTTGTAAGCTCAGTAATTAAAATGTATTGGGTAAATTTTCTACAGCTTTTCTCACACACAGCAGTGAGATAGAAGTTGCAGATTTCAGATGAAGACTCAACGGATCTTTAAACTCCAGCCAGGACTCAGCTGAAAGCTGTCTGGGAGAGCAAGTCTGCTGCTTAGCCTGGTCTTGTCTCCACGGCTCTTTGATGGAAGGAAGGTTGGGATCACTCATCTCCCACCTCCTGTAGATGGATTAATTATTGTTGTGGATCTTAGCATAGAGTTCTGGCATGACAACAATGGGTTAACTCAAATTTTAATGTCTTCAAAACACTTGTCACAAATGAACTCATTTATCCTCACTTTTCTGCAGGAAGGGAGGG